CCCATTCCTAGCAATGAAAAATGGGGTAATAGGTAAATGATGGGGGTTTGTCTCTCTCAGACAGGCGTGAAGTGCAGAGACTGGCACTGTGCATTTGCATGGTCTTTTATTATTGAGCTGTCATGAGATTTTGATGTAGAAGACAGCAGAGAAAGACTTTAACACTTTGCCCATAATACAATTATATATATTAATTGTATGAAAGGCCTATAGGTTCTTCAACAGCAAGACAATCTCTTTGGTTTATTTTCAGCAGCCACTTACACTCCATGCAAGAGGGACACGGACTTGTTGGAGCGGGTCCAGAGAAGGTCACGGAGATGATCCAAGGGCTGGAGCCCCTCTGCTGTAAGGACAGGCTGAGAGAGCTGGAGTTGTTCAACCTGGAGAAGAGAAGGCTTTGGGAAGACCTTAGAGCCCTTTTTAGATCTGAAGGGGCTATGGGAGAGATGGGGGACAGGCTTTTCAGTAGGGCCTGGTGTGATAGGACATGGGGTAACAGCTGTAAACTAAAAGAGGGAAGATTTAGACTAGATATAAGGAAGAAATTTTTTATGATGAGGGTGGTGAGACACTAACACATGCTGCCTAGAGAGGTGGTAGGTCCTCCATCCCTGGAAACGTTCCAGGGCAGGCTGGACACAACTCTGAGCAACCTGATCTGGTTGAAGATGTCCCTGCTCATGGCATGGGGGTTGGATCAGATCCAAGGTCCCTTCCATCCCAAACTATTCTACGATTCTATGATACACGGAGGCTTGGATGGTTCAAAATATTTTCTCTATGATGTGCCTCAACAACAAGCTCTTCAAAAGAATAATAAAATTCTAGTAGTAGTAGTATAATGCCCAGCTTCCCCATAGAAAATCCTACTCTCATTTTCATCTAACTTTTCCAAGCCTTAGAGCTACTACAACTGATTTATTTTTTTTTTCCCAGGGAGGTTATATACCTACCTGTTTTAAAACTGCGGCAAGTAGGAGAAGGTGAAACAGTAACTGGGACTACAGAGGGAGAATCAGGCTGAAGGAGTGTCTTGTCTTGGTGTGAGACCAGTTTAAGAATGAGAAATGTTGGCTATGATAGTACTGGGCAAGCACAAGCTTCTCAGCATGTAAGAATTATTTCTTGGAATGTTCAGTCATATAATGCTGCCTGTTTGCAGCTTAATTATTGTCAATGAACCAGAGCGCACATGGCATTTATGCTAAATTGGGAAAAGGCATTCTTTTATTTAATTTACTTTGTGTTTCTTTGTCTCAAATACATGTCTTTCGCTGCCACCCGAAATACATTCTGCCCCTAAAAGCATTAGAAAATGTTGGATCTGAAACTGACTGTGACAGAAATTAGATGAAACTTACTTTTCCTTTTAAGAAAGGCCTGCTAGAGTTTATTTCTGGCTGAAAGATAAAACACAAAAAGAAGAGACGGTAACAAAACCCCACTTCCTCTCACCGTGATTTGGCTCACTGCAGAATAAATATTTCACAGGTGGTTCTCACTCCAGAGCCAGGTAAACTGAAAACACGTATCAGTTGTTTTTGATTTCTTTTTCACCGGCCATGGCAGTTGGAAGGAGATGCCCCATTTGAAGTTGTTTGCTGTGAGAACTGAATGACTTTTCATCTCCTGTTCCTCTGGGCTTTGCTCATTAGAAAAAGATCAGTAACTTTTAATGTAACTGGCAGGTGATAGATCTGACTCCCGTTTCATCCTGACTTATTCAGAGTGAAGTCGTTGGCTCACAGATTGCACTTCCAAGGATTGTCCAAGTCACAACCAAGAAAGCTGGAAAAAAATTGAGGCTTGTTGGACCACGGTAGGTGAACTCTCAAGAAGCTCTTAAATTGCTGGTGGAGATTTTGAGCCTTCGTCTCTCTCCTTAACACTCCTGTCTGACCCAAATATTCCCTAACTGCATATGAGAAGAAGAAAAATCTTTTGACAAGGTATGCAGTGAAGAAAAGGAAAAAGCATACCTATGCTTTTACATATTTTATATATTTTTTATTCTACTCACGCAGTTATTTATATATGAGAAATCAATAACAAGCAGTTTAAAATCTTGACACTAAGATAAATGCACATTTTTGTTCTGTGTAGCTCTTCTGTTGTGTAGTATGTAGTGACAGCAACAGGTTTTGATCCAGACAGGTTCATCTTCAGCAGTTACAGACAGACTTTGAAACTGGCATCAAACAGCTCATACAGACTATTTCATAGCACAGCTTCCTCCCAAAGTACACTGATAAGAGCAGATGTTTATAATAAGAGACAATCTTAAGGGAGCTTTTTGGGAACAGAGTATCTGTTAAAGCAAACAAATCTGGAAGTGTTCCATTCCCTATCGTACTTGTTTTATCAAGGATTAGTGAAATCATAGTGTTAAATTTAACAGCTTCAAAGTAGTAATTTTCTTTTCTCTGCCATCTGTGGTGCCCTCTACTGCACATCTTTGTAGAAGCAGGACAAACATTGCGCTAATCCATTGGTTACACTGCTTTTCTCACATTTCTCTTTCCATCTTAACATTTAATAATCGTTCATTATTTCTTATATATATAAAAAATGCAGCCAGTATTTGCAACTGAAATTATTTTGGTTTGTTTTTTTTTTTTTTTTACCAGCAGAGTTTAAAAAGGGAAAATAAATAAATATAGAGGGCTTTAGGAAACAAACCTGCTAGCTCATTTATTGATTGTAGTTCATTTACTGGTCATATTCTGGATACTAATTTATGTCATTATATGTATGTATATATTTATATACAAGTGTGCAATATTAAGGCTGAAGCAAGGAAACTTTTGTTATTGTTGCTTGTCTTTTGATCTCTGCTTTGTTAACTCGGGTACAAGCATTGAGTATTTTGCTTGTGATTTTTATAGTTGCTGTTTGCTGCTATGAAGAAGAGACAAGTCATTAAATTAGCTTCTCACAAGTTTATGTATATAGTTTTGTTTGCAATCCGTTGCTAGGGGCATGATATAATTTTGTCAGCTCTATATCAAACAAAAATCTGTTGATTATTGATGTTGAATTGTTGGAAAGAGCTACAGAGATTTTACATAAATATTTCCGGAGTGATCTCAAGGTACCCAAAGGCCAAAGACTTAAGATGAAAGATCTGAAAATTTCAATTTATTAATTCCCCTTTCTTTTGCTTGCCTCTGTTAATTGATGCACCTTGTGTTTGTATCATCATAGCCTGAGGTTTTCCTAGAATAAATCAATGTATGAGTTTTTTAATTACCTACCCAAGCTGGATTAGGACTGCTAAGAGAAGAAAGGTTCAGGGGTAGCAGCTAATGGAACAGCAGGAGAAACCAGCTGCCTCCAACATTTAAAACACTACGTCATCTAACTTGCTAACAACAAGTCTAAGCATCGCAGCATTTGAAATGCTGTTGGCAGCGAGCTCGATACAGCACGGCTTCCAATATTACTGACTGCTGTACGTAAAACACGATGTTATCAACAGCGGGCTTTAAAAATTTTTATCTGGAAAGGACAAGCCTTTAAGATATCTATCTCTGAAGTAACTGCTAACACTCTCAGAATGACCACTGTCAGGCAGTCGATTAACGATGACCTAGTTAGGAGTTGAAAATACACTTTGGCATATCATAACTGCAAAGGTTAAGAGCAGTTTAAATTCCTAGGATTTGTTTTTCTTCACTATCAAGCTGCCTGTGAGGGAGCCTTGATCTCTGCACTCAAAACCCACTGAGGAAACTGAGGTTCTTCTCCAGGAGGGCCGGGAAGAAGGGGGCTGTTTCAGTGGTGAAGAAGAACTGGTGTGCTCTTCTGGCCTTCACAGGGTCTCCCAGAAATATTACAAAATTACAGAGAGTTTAAACTTTCTGAAGTGAAAGAGTCGAATTTTTGTAGGAAAAGGCAAACACCTAAAGACAACAGGCACGAAATGCACCAAAATGATAATCGCACATGGGGTTTCTTTTCAGATTCGCAGTCTGTCTCTGGCTGTGCAGCCTCCATTTTGAAGGGGTGCCTCTGGCCGAGGATGCCCCGTGAATCATTGAAGTCGTGGTTCAGCCATAAGCCTTACAAAGTTTAGCATTTTTTTCTTGAATCTTGGCTTCCTTGGAAGCTGGTGATTCATGACTCTTAGAATTGAGGGGTTTATTGTTTGTTCAGAACACAAGTTTTTAACGGTGTATTGAGAAAGATTTGAAAACATATCCCAAGTCTATTCTAAAACTTCTGAATGCTGAGGGCAAATTATAAAAAATATTTTGAAATATTTAATCTCAATAGAAGTCAAATTCCATTTTGGGGAAGGAAGCTGATTTTTCAACACTTGGAGTTGCACTGGAGCTTTCAGCTTTTTTGGCTTTCTTCCAGCTGCTTGAGAACAGCCAGGAAAAGACATTTGATATTGAGGAAAGAAAATAATTGTTGGTCGTCCAGAAAGGATGTTGATGAGCCATTTGGCCACTTCGGCTGGATTTATTTCAGTGACCCCGAGACCTGGGTGCTATGAAATTTGTGCTTAAATATCTGCTCAGGCACAGCAGCTCCAGAGACGGCTTTGAGGTTGGGGCTCCCAGTGGTCAGTCAAGCAGGGCGGGAGGAGGCCCCTGTCAGGGTGGGTGGGGCCTTCTCCTGTCTGTCAGGAAGAGGAGGAGGAACCATTGGTCAGTCAGGAGGAGCGGGAAGGAGAGCCATTGGTCAGTCAGAAAGAGCGGGAAGGAGAGCCATTGGTCAGTCAGAAAGAGCGGGAAGGAGAGCCATTGATCAGTCAGAAAGAGCGGGAAGAGCCCTCGGTCTGTCAGGAGGGGCAGGGCCGCTCCTGTCTGTTAGAAAGGGCGGGAAAAGCCTGTCAGCGAGGGCAGGAAAATCCTGACTTTGGTTTCCACAGAAATTGTCTGCTTTTTCTCTCTGGCTCTACGGTTTGACCCCAGGTCATGAGTTTCAAGTCCAGCACGCAGAATAACCTTTTCTAATTTCTTTGGTAATCTCTTTTGCCTCTCTTTAGCATGGCGTCGCCCCTTCCTGAGCAGTTGGATTGTTCTGCGCCAGCCTTCACGGAGGACAACAGTGGGTGTTCCGATGAAGAGCCAGCTGGGAGCAAGGACAGCTTCAGGAAAACAAGTCTTTTTGGTCATGAGAGCCACGTCCCTAGGTAAAAGATGTGAAAAATGCTCCCTTTCTGTAGTAATACTTAAGTAGGTAGCGCACCATTGCACCTAATGTGCTTGTGCAAAAGTGAAAAACATACTCCCCTACAGAAACACAGGGGGAAGGGGCTCTCACACTGCAAACAGCATCTCTCTTCCCTCAGACCTCTCCAAAAAGTCTATAGGTACAGACAAATACAGAAATGGTGACAAAACAAACATACTGAATTTCCCTGACAAAGAGCTCTCATCGTTTTTTAAAGACTCTTTCCATACACAGCATATCAGCCTCAGAGACTGGGAGTATCTTGAAAGTGTTTTAAAAGGAAAAGGATAAGGATAATAAAAATTAATTATGATGACTTGGAGAGTTATTAGTCTTTGCGGCAGGCTATGGCAACTTTAGCCACGTACAGTTCTGGGTTTTGGAGTGTGGTGGTTCATTACATTGCAGATTTTTGTTTGTAACTGTTCCTCTTGTGCAAATGCCTCAGTTTCACCTTTGTAAAGCCATTAGTCTCTCTGTGTCTGAGTTTATTAATCTGAAAAACAGAAAAAAATCTTGTATTGTTTTTTGTTGAATGGTTTAATATTACTGGACATAAATGTTAGTAATACTATTAGGGTTTTTTGTATATATACAGATACTATTACAAATTACTTTTTAAGATAGAAGGTTAATACTTTCCAGAAATTGCTTTCAAAAATGATGATCTAGTTTCAGCAGAATAAGGAGTAAGTGCAAGCTGAGCGACAAAATGGAAGAAACATTTTCAGCTGATAGAAGAGAGGTTTAATGACATTTCATTATTGTAGACTCATAGCTAGTTTTTAAAAAGAATTCTTGTTGATTTTTTAACACTGGGATAATTAGTTTTGTGTGGTGTGCTCTGCTATTGACTCATCTTTTCTTGGTATGCTACTTAATGACAAAGTTGGACTTTGCTGATAAAACTTTGCACTAAAATAAGTTTTGTTTATTCTTTTAATTCCTACCTAAACTTATGATGGTATATAGTACACTTGTAATTTTAAGGACAGCTGAAATGTTGGAGTCAGATTGCTTATGAAAATAAAAAGCATCTGTCATAACACTCAAACTAGTCTACAGTTTTGCTGCAAGGGATCTGCTGCAAGGTTACTTTGTCTTTTAGGTGAAAGATACAGATTTTATTCTTTTCACAGTGCATCTGTTGAGACAAACCTTCATATAATTAAAACCCTTAACAGTTTGTTCAGGGCAGCAGATCAAAAGGTTAACGTGCAATGGTACAACAGGAAGTATTTGTACTCTTGAACATTTTTTAAATTTACAGCATTTAAAAACAACTTAGTCCAAATCATAGCCAAAGCCAATATTACATCATTTATAATAAAACATTTATCATTAGTCGCAAAACAGCCAGTTGGTCTAAAAGTTCAGCTGGTAAAAATTTTGATGATTTCAGGATTGAATAGGAATGTACTTTTAATTGTGTCCTCAGTCATGCATCTGGAATGGAAAGTCAAAGAATTTAGGGAAACTGAACAAAACAAAATTACAAACCAAGAGAGTTCCTCCACATTGCTGAAACAAATATATCCTTGAAGCAGTTTTGGGTTACATGAGTTTTGTAGGAGTGGGGATAGATGATCAAAACTCAAAGTAGAACTAGATTTTATCATGTGAACTGTGTCGTTAATTTTCTTTGTTCCAGTTCTGAAGTTCTTGAAGCAATAGAAAATGTTATTGAAGATGTATTTAAAAGCTTGGCTCAAAAAAAAGCACCTGTTCTCACACTGGCTAACAGATCAGGCTGGAGGAACATAGAGTAAGTATTATATATTGTAAAGGCCTGCCTTATATTAATATAAATTCCATGAATATAAATTCGATTATGTAATTTCCAGAAAGGTTAATCACACATAGTTCTATAAGTATTAGAATCAATAAATAATTTGACTTCTTAAAAAGTAGTGGGCAAATAAAAAGTAACGCTTAGTAACCACTCTGTGTGAACAGGCATCGTGTATTAAGAGCAGACCATAGCATAAAGGGGAATGTAAAACTACTGTAATAGGGGTTAGAAAGGAAAGGGAGGTCCTATAAACAATCATTTTCTGGAAGCGGTAGAAACTAGAAATGATAAGTCATGTTGGAGTGAAAAATTCTGTTTTAGGCTGGAAACAATTACTAGCAATTTTATCCTCCAATGCCCTTTCTGTGCTTCCTGGTTTCTTTTTCTTTGCTTTTCCTCATGCTATCTTATTTCTTAAAATGATAGTGAAAAACTAATCCTTTTGTTCTTCAGAGAAGATGCATCTCACTTCTTGCTATTGTATTTCTTACCTCAGTGTTGTGTTCTAAGCTCACTACCAGCCAAATAAAGCAAACCAAACTTCTAATGTGTTATCTGAGTTTCAGATCTTATGCCAGGTTATCTAGACAGGATCAGAGAAAAGCAACCTGTCCTCCTTTGTAACACACTTTGTGACTTGCAGAAGTTGCTTGTGCAACAGTATTTTTCCAAGGAGCTCATTTAAATTGAAAGTACCTGAAACTGAGAGATTAATTGCTTTCTATAATACAGAAGCAAAATGATGACGGAAGACACAAGTCTGTTTCTTGCCCTGTAATAACTTTGGATGTCAGTGGGTGAAAGGATATTTAGATTGAGAAGATTGCAGAGGCATTTGTCAGTGAACACATTACAAACATTTGAGGCTGAGAAAGCATAGCAAACCTTCCACGCGTAATACTTTGGTGGAATACACATTTAAAGAGAACAAAAAATTTCTGTCAATCAAAAAACCTGAGGGGCCTGAAGGTAATCAGTTAACTGAAAAGCTTGTATGTTCCAGGGAATTTAATGCTTTGTGTCTTGATAGTTTGACAAAAATGTTTCACTTAGATGTCTGTAAAATTAAAATACTGTAACAAAGTTTTGCAATTTTTGGCACTCTTTGGGGAAATGGCATTCCAGGCTAGAAAAACAAATGTGAGATGTTATTTGCCATCAGAACACAGAGGGGGAAAAAATGTTCAAATTAAAACAAGTTAACATCACAGTATGTTAAAAATAAGACTCATCAATCACATTAAAAAAAGCTAAATCATTATTTATGGTGAAGAAATGTAATCTCAGATATGCATTTCCATTGAATAGTGACCTATATCCAACTTTAATACAGCAGTGTAAGATTAAAATAAGAATAAATAGACAAATAAAAATAAAACCAGAGCTCCCGAATACAATATGAGTAGAAGAAAATACAGTCAGTGGGGCATTTTCTTTTCTTTCTTAGGCAACCTTTTCATACCTAATCTCCACAGCTGGAATCTGCTGGGCAGGAACTAGTAGAATGAAAGAATGATTTCATGTTTGAAATGTTCCTTGTAAACATTTGTAGATGCCCAGAGAGGTATTTACCTAAGAATGATGTCAATCAGTGAGAATGCCAGGCCTAAAGCAGCACAATCGGTTTCCGTTGTCCAGCTGTATCTTTCCAGGAAATTTAAAAAAAAAAAAAGGAGATTTTGCATTAGTGGAAAGAAAATTGTATAGAAAACTACCCTGCTGGGGTAAATGCAATCCCAGGAAGAATTGCTGGATGTCCCATCTATTGCCAGTTTGCTGTTGCCTTTATGAAATATCTGTGGCAGCCACATAGATCTGGTCTTTCAGCACATTGTTTTCTGAAAGCAGGGTTCCTTTTTTAACCTGAGAGCAACCCAGCACAGTTTTGATTACTGTTTTTCTCCCTGGTTTTGTGCAGTTACAATGTAGGGAGCATGCAAGTGAAAAGCACAAATACCTTTTCAATGTTGCAGCACGAAGGTGTGACAGTTAACTTCAAAGCTGTCAGGCAGATGCTCCACTGCTGCTGTCCCTTTATGTACTGCACTGTGGTGTGTTCTGCCACCCAAAGGATAGATGGAGCAAAACCTTTGACAAAGAAAGAAATTTAGAAACATTATGTGGGTTTAAATAAAACAGTAGCCTTTTTACCAGCAATACTTTTAAAAAGTACATACAAAGTTTTGAAATGCAGAAGAATGCTTTAAAAACAGGGCTGTCATATCATAATGCACTAAAATAATTTTAAGTAAAATAATGAAGTGTCATTAAGAAAATAACTGATTATTTTGGTGAAATGTGCAGCTTCAGACATTACATGGTGATGCACTAAATGGTGGACCTCATTTAGATTAAACAACTGCTTAGAGACTAGCATGGGCTGCATTTTTGTTTCCAAAATTTAATAATGGAATATGATAGAGTTATTCTAACAATGATTTAAGGACATAAATTAGATAATATTATTGTAATATGAAATTATAACACTTTTTCATACATTCTATGTTGGAAAGTCATTGTCAGACTTGGTTTGTATTCTGATAATGATTCACATTTTTTTTGTCATTTATTCCTTTGTTTTCATGCTAAATAATAATTGACACCGATATACTAATAGTTATAAACATATAGAAAATATTTTTCTTATCTCTACTTTTATCTGGAAACTTATGTATTTTAGGCTTAAATGCAGTCTTGAAGTATCTTTTTGAGAAACACTTTTATGTTTTGAAGCCAATGATCAGATGGGAGGCAGTTCAGTAGTGGGTCGTTTTGGCAGATGATGACAACTGCCTGCCTTTTTCCTTCGGCTGCTCCAATTCCACCCGTTCTGTGGAGTTTCTGTACTGAGTCAGAAAATAGCACTAGTGTATTTGACTACAGGAAAGGGGTCTCCATCTGAATTACCTTGCAGAGAACAGTTTACATATACTGAATATGTTTACAGTTTCATTGTATTTGTTTGCAATGTATCAGATTTAAGGATTCTGTAGGTCTACAGATGATACCACATTGTACTACAAGACAAATAAGAAGTGACTGCCCTAGATCAGCATCAAAATTTGGTAAGTTAGAAAAGGTCAAAAGCAGAATTCTTGATTTTTCTTGTATTTTTGTTCAAAAGTTTGTAAAAATCCAAAACAAATGAACCAAAACCCATAAAAAATTATGCATTGTGATAAGTGTATGACTAATATAACCTGATATTATGACCAGCCCTTCAGCTTTTCTCTATTAAATTATAGTGAGTGACAGTGAAATTAATACAGGTTTCTTACAGTTTCTACCTCCCTGAATGAATATCAGCTGAAAGTATTTTCAAAAAGTCTTAATGTAAAAACATCGCCCTTCTTCAAAAAGCGAGCTAGGAAAAGAATCTTGGAATATGGACAATATGCTAATTTCTTATTCTAACTCAGTCATTTAATTTCTTGGCCTGGACAGCAGGGCATACATTCCCTCACTTGACTCTATCATATTTTTTCTAATTATGCTAGAAATTATTGGGTCTATTGGTTATTACAGTCTCTTTGTATTTTCATAGCCCATTAAAATATACTTTTCAGAGTTTTATTTCATGAGACACAAATACGTGCCAATATAAAGACAAATTATTGTATATGCATTTCTGAAAATGGATAAAATATTTTGTAAAATGTATCTTTTCAGCTCTGATGCTTAAAATATTATCTATGATCTATAAGATGGTGCAGACCAATACTTATGCAACTAAAAGGTAACATACTATATTTCTGTAATTTCAAATAAAGTTGTATTTTAAGAATGCTATTTTGCAAAACAGCCTGTAGGATGCAAACCTGTGGGATAATGGATTCCTGTATGTAAAATGTTTTAGGTTGATTTAATTATCCATGCCCTCTATAAAATTCTCATGAGCCTGCAGCTGTTTCTGTATTATAATTACAAATACAATATTTTGTCTTGATAGAGATATATATTATTCAGATACACTACTGTTTGGTAGCCAAAGTGTTGTGGACAATATAATCAATGACATTTCTTGCATGCTTAAGATACCTCGGAGAAGTCTACATGTAGTAAGTGGCTTATTATGAATGTTTTTATCATTATTTCCAAATTTATTGATTGACCCGATAGCTGAAATACAAAGAAGAGTTATCAGTAGGAAATACATAGTTAAAATAAGTGTCATTTGTGCAAATGAAACCTAATTATGGGTTATCGTAGCACTTGAAGGGTATCTTCAGAGAAAATTCATAGAGTTTGCTTGCTCCAAAGAGTTTGGGACAAACTGCCAGCTAAAACCATGGGGCCTTTTGCTATTACCTTCTGAAGGCAGAGCCTGAACTTCGGAGTGAAAGGTATCTCTGGCAATTTGTACTCACATGATTTGCTAACTTGGGGGTTAAATGAAAATTTAAAGTCAGTCAGTGACATACCAACCTTTCAAATTTACTTATGTGTCATGCCTTACAAGAATTCCTTCGTATCTCTAAATGCAGTTGTTACGATCATTTATTGTGAATATGCCTTTAAACCTTCTTTTCAGAGGTTTCTTGGTTTGCCTGTGCAATATAGTAACGTAATGGCACAAAACTTCCAATTTACTGTATGCATCTTACTGTTTTTTTCAGCTGTCTACAACTAAAGGTTTTGTTGCTGGCAATTTAAGTTACACTGAGGAAGATGGTACAAAAGTGAATTGTACCTGCAGTGCAACAGTATGTATTATAAAACAGTAATGGTAATTCGTAGTATCTACCTTTTGATGATATCCTGCATTTCTTGTAGCTCAGGGTACTGTATACATTTATTATATAGGCCTGTGCTTGTGGCAAATTGAGACATTACAACCTGAGTGAAAAGAGAGATAAAAAGTATTGCTCAACAGTATTGCAATTTTGAAGCTCAGCTAAATACTCACCAGGAATAGATATCCTTTGGACATGGTTTTTAGCACTGCCTTCTTCCATGGGAGCCTTGCAGGGGAAGGTGTATATATCATGTATCTTAGGCTTTATATTGCAATATTCTGTCAGATAAGTGTTCTGAATCAAAGAACTGAGCACTCTGAACATACTTTGTTTCTGTCACAATAGATTGATTTCTGGCAGAGTAAGAAAGCAAGTCCTACAGCCTGAGTTAATGTACTTATATGGTTCCAAATATGTTGCTTCAACGACACTGGACAGGCTCCTCGAGTAGCAACAACACAGATGGGAGACTGAATGGAGCCTCTAAAATTAAAGAAAGAAATCTCTTCCTGGACCTAAATTATGTTCTCATATACAGAAGTTTTAATGATGATATTTCATCAGCATAAGAATTGGTATTGTCTTCATTTGCCCAGCACTGTACAACCAAAGGTATATAATATCAGGCTGTTTGGTCTCAGGATTATAAATTATACAGGAATTACAGACATTAGAAGGGCTTGTATTGTGAACTAATTTAATCAAAAGTGGCACTGAGCTAAAGAGAAGTTTATAACCATGGTTTCATAAGAGCCAAGAACCAATAGGTGGTTTGAGGAGGAGAGATTCAACTAATCTAGTCCTAAAAGATTTCCTATAGCTTTGCAGAATACGAAAGCAGGAACAAAACTCAGACTTGGTGACTGTTGCCATGATTTCCTGGAAATGTGTTCATTGTGAGCCCAAGTCGGTAATTTGAAAATGGAAAGATAACCTCAACTGCCTACAATACTTTGTTTTGAGGCAGAGTGTAAAGACCCCTGTTGTTAATGCTCTTCTACAGCTCTTCATATTTTTGTTTGTTGAGTTGCTGCACCCTGGCACTGGAGGTGATTTAGCAGTTAGAAGTAAAAACAGACCACACACTTCAATACATACATACTCTTTTGCCAAGTTCTTCCTCCAGTTCCTGTTTTCTCATCCACATGCTTGCCAGATCGACCCAATCCTAATATGAGATGTAAAGTAAGCATTACTGTGTCTTAAAATTGCTGCTCCAAAATAGTTATAAAATCAGGTTACAGGTTAAGAAATTTGCCATGATTTCCTGGAAAATGTGTTCATTGTGAGCCCAAGTCGGTAATTTGAAAATGGAAAGATAACCTCAGCTGCCTACAATACTTTGTTTTGAGGCAGAGTGTAAAGACCCCTGTTGTTAATGCTCTTCTACAGCTCTTCATATTTTTGTTTGTTGAGTTGCTGCACCCTGGCACTGGAGGTGATTTAGCAGTTAGAAGTAAAAACAGACCACACACTTCAATACATACATACTCTTTTGCCAAGTTCTTCCTCCAGTTCCTGTTTTCTCATCCACATGCTTGCCAGATCGACCCAATCCTAATATGAGATGTAAAGTAAGCATTACTGTGTCTTAAAATTGCTGCTCCAAAATAGTTATAAAATCAGGTTACAGGTTAAGAAGGGATTTAATGGTCGTCCAAAAAGAATACTTTTATGTTTTAAGCCTATATTAAATTTGCAATCTTCACACCAAACAGACTTTTTTTTCTGGCTAAGACAGATAAATTATTAATCAGGACATTGTTATCTCTGTAATGCTACCAAACTGACTTTTTTTTTCTGGCTAAGACAGATAAATAATTAATCAGGACATTGTTATCTCTGTAATGCCCATATGATGAACAATCTTCTATGACAGTTGCACAAACACTTTTGAAAAGCATCTTGTTATAACAGGAGGACTCCTACACAACCGTACAATAGAGCAGGATATGAATGGTTGAATACACTTATAAAAAGATGAAAATGTCAAGATCGATCTTGTATATAGAAGATGAATGGCTGTTTCAGGATATAATTGTGTCCTTCATTACCTAATATTGTTATTTTAAAATATATCATATTCTGTATTTAAAATGATTAATCTCATTTTTGTTGTTTTAGGCAGTCACTGTGCCATCTAATGTTCAAGGAATTAAAAGTATCCTTTGAGCAAGAGCTCTCATTGTAGACTGAAAAAATAAAGTAAAAACAAAGAATATTCCAAGTTAAACAATGTTCTGGTAATTTTTTCTTTGCTTGTTGGCTCTGAAATTGAATCATGAACACTGCTTTTGGCTCCAGAACAGGTATTTTAGAGCATTTAGTTTTAATTGATTGGTGTGATGGATCATTTTACATGCAGCTAGCCTTAACGGAAAAGATTTAATCTCACATGCCAAATTTATGTTAATTGTAGAAAAAGATGCAACTTTTCAGAGACTCCTGGATGATGACTTCTGCAATAAATTGTCCCCATGTATAATGATTACGGTACGCATCTTACATTTCATATCGTCTAGCTAGACATAAGAATTTAAATACTTTAGTATTGTAGTGGAGCTCAAACTTGGTAAAAAGACCATAATAAAATTAACATGAAACATGTCTAACAATATTTTTTTAAATTTTATTATCCTTATAGAAATACAAAATACACATTCTAAAGACTGACTTCCTCCAGGCATCTCCTTAGATCTTGGTAGCTTATCAACCTCATGAGCTGCTGCAAAGTAGCTGCCCCATTCAGTCTTAGGAAACGTTAACTGTTGAGTAACCCCTTGTCCTTCAGGATCCTTGGTTTAGCAAACCCAAATGAAACAGAGTTGGTTGATTTTGGATTGTACTGAAAGAGCTATGGAGCCTGGAGAATTAATAGGAATGTGTAAAGGGAATATGCATACCTATGTGTTCTGGGACAAATTTGGCCCACAATGAGGAAAAAACCATATCCCCATACCTAAGAGAGATAAACATTTATCTCACTGCAGTGTTCAGTCAGAGTTAGTCATGGCAAAAACTTATTTTATAGTGTTTCATTAGTGTCATAAATATTGTTGAAAAGAGAGTGGCCTTCTTAAACCAGCTTATACAGATACCCGGGTACATTTATACATCAACTCCCAGACCTTACAAATTAACTCCTTTAAATAGAAAAGAGTGGCCTTCTTGAACCAGCTTATACAGATACCCGGGTACATTTATACATCAACTCCCAGACCTTACAAATTAACTCCTTTAAATAGAGGACTGTCTGATACTTCTACAGTGCCCGTAATCCAGGACATCCGCAGCGCTGCTCCCCAGCCTGCTCCTCCTTCCCCTCTCACACAGCCAAAATAGGAGCATCAAACTTTTCCTGCAAAATAGCTGCTGGAGACGTATTTCTGCCAGCATTTTGTTTGTTTGCTTGGTTTCAAATGACAAATGTAAACACATATGTAGCCAGATGCTGCTCTAATTAATTTAAAACTGTCTGCTTCTATTTTATTTCCTTAGGGAAGAGGCGTACCAGATCTTAATACACGACTTTTGGTCAGAAAGCTGTGGGATACTTTTCAACTTCCTATTTTCACCCTTATGGATGCGGATCCACACGGTAAATCTGTAGAGGTTCAGTGACAAAAGGAAAGCAAAATTTATTTAGAATGTTTTTTCTCATTTTTATATGAAGGTGCTTAGAGCATACGAATCTAAGACAATCAGAAGCTTCCTGATTTATGCAGGGTATATCTAGGAGTACAGAGGGGGGTTACATCCCCACTGAATACATCCTTACTGTCTGTAATAATTTGTGGTGCTTTGAGGTATTAATAAGAATCTTACCTTGTAGCTTAAAAAAAATAGTACATTTATAGAATTTGTAGCTCAGAATAGAGCTAGATTTTTAAAGTACTTGTGGGCCTTAAAAATGAGGATAAGGATAATGGAACTTTATGATCCGTTGCATTGGACTAATTTTAATGGGAGTCAGGCACTTGACCACTTCTAAAAGTCTCAGGAGGTCCTAGCTATATCTTTACAGGACTAAATACCATTGAACGTGTTGATCTGTCAAGAATTCCAGCTGTTGGCTATACTACTCCTTTTGTAAAAATAAAAGGAAATAACAGGAACTTTTGTAAACGTTGCTCAGTTTGGTATAAAGCAAAATTTCTAACTATGTTATAAACCTTAGGCCAGACAGACATGAAGAAAAGAGTATGTTTGAGCAAAGTGAGACTTTTATTTGTTATAAAGTAGTTCACAAACACTTACATTAATAACTCAGCACTCATGTCAATAGTTTACAGTAGTGAAAGCTAGAAACTACAAGTCTGATGACAGCAAGAATAAAGTTAGTCCTAAAATGAGTCCATCACATTCTGGATGTGCTGTTCTGTTCTATCAGCGGCAGGTCTGAAATTTCCCTCATTTCCTGAGGGATTCTGTATATTTGAGTCTATATGCCTTTGTTTGAATTCAGAGCCTGAATTCACATAACACAAAATGTAGAAAATCTCTTAGGTATCTACACTGATACCACCTGAAATTAGGGAGATTACTGCAAAATGAGAAGCAGCTGCTCAAAGCAATAGTATTAAGGGATAGGGATTACAAAGGATAAAGACAGACAGATTTTGTGATACATGTTGGACAATGTGTATCAAGAGCTGATTATCCTTGATTTTGAAATGACAATGCACAGACAGAGTGCAACATTTAACTATATAGAGGTGACATGTTATGCTCCAATTCTTATTATTTTGACATACCCTAATCATAAAGCTGTAACTGTTACGCCATAACATTGAATTCTTAATGCAGTCTTCTTAAACATTCTAAAAATAATTTTAAACTGTAAAGAACCTCACTAATCATAAAGCTGTAACTGTTAAGCCATAAAATTGAATTCTTAATGCAGTCTTCTTAAACATGCCCAGTGTGCAGATAAACAGGCACTTGACATTTGCTATTCTGCATCCTAGGTGTGGAAATAATGTGCATCTACAAATATGGATCTGTGGTGAGTATAATTTTTCCACTTCAAACATATTGTTTTGTAGCCCAGTCTTGACGCTGGAATGTATGAAATGTTACAGCCTTTTGTTGTGGTTTGGACTGGGACACCTTTGTTAGAATGGTTACTGCTGTTTATCATTTTGTTTCAACACAAAGACACATTTTTTAGGCCTTGTGTATCTGCAGAAATGGCTTCTTCCTGCAACAAAAAGAAACTGGATAGCAATGAGAGGTGTTTCATTTAACTGTATTTCGGTTTTTCCCTGCTGCACAGGCAGTTTTCAGAAGTCCAAATAGAAAAGTGTTCTCCATTTTGCTTTGTTTCTGCCTTAGAAGAGAAATGAAGGCTGGAGGGTCCGTGGGAGGAGGAGGACATAACTTGTGAGATGGGTGACTCTCCACAAAATCATGTTATGTTGGTAAAGCTTTTGTTTTGGGTTGAGAATTGACTTATGGATACATGTGTAAGTGTGGAACACTTGTGGAAGTGGAGGCAAAGGGAACAAGATGGCATTGTTGTATTACACTGCTAAAAGATGAGGTACAGGAAGATGATATGGAAGGCAGGCAGACTAAGGTGAAGGCAGAGGGCAGGAGCAGATGGGTGAACTGCTCAGTAGAGCAATGAGAAAGTAAAAAAAAAAAAAAAAAAAAAAAAGAATAACAATGAGAAGTGTTTCATTTAACTGTATTTCAGTTTTTCCCTGCTGCACAGGCAGTTTTCAGAAGTCCAAATAGAAAAGTGTTCATATTGACTGTAAAAAAAAAAAAAAAAAAAAACTATTTAGACTAAACCAGCCTAAACTGGACTAGTCTAGAATCTGTCATAGGCTGAAGGGTGCACGTCTTAGTGAAGGAGCGCTTTCCGGCGAGGGGATATGGTAAGCTTCAGTTATGCTATTTTCTCCTCTATCATTCTGGTATTGAAAATACCTATCTTTGTAATAAAACCTGACCATAACCTCAGAAGGCATATCTCTCAAATAATTTAAACTAAAAGTCACTGAATGTTATAGTTGACCTTTCTTATTTTAGTCAATGTCTTTTGAGGCCCATCATCTCAAAAAACCCCCAACTTCAGAGAACTGTCAAACATCAGAGTTCAAACATATGTCATAACCTAGGCCTCAAGGACACAGAACTCTCAAGATTCTAAGTGAGCTGTCATACTTCAAGCTCTCCTATAAAGGTGTGTAAACTTTATAAAACACCATCTTCCAGGAGGAAATTAAATTGTCAGGTTCCTTTGAAAGTTTATTTTGTTCAATTACAGAGGAACAGGTGTATCAAATGAAACTAGAATATGTCAAGTTTGGTACAAAAAAAAATTGGAAGTGTTCCTTTATCCATGTAACCTAACTGTGGTACTTTACTGTAGGGTGCTGTAGATCGCAAAAGTTTTCATGGATTTTAAAAGCAACCTGACAAAGTCGAGTATTATACCATCAACACTTCTGGCTCAGAAAGCTGAAGTCACAAACCGTTGGGAGCAGGGGGAGTATTCTGAGAAGTATCATTAACTGCTTATTTGTTTTTATACTTTTCCCTAAGATACTTACAGTAGCCATGATACTGGACCAGATGAACCTTTCTTTGGGATATTTTTATATGATGTGCTACTTTCCAGCAGAAAATAGTGGAAGTTTCCAGATTTGTCATTGCTCCTTCTGGCTTTTTGGGGGGGTTTTTTGGCAATCGGACTCATATTGACTGTAAAAAAAAAAAAAAAAAAAAAAAAAAAATTTGGGATTTTTGGGGTGAGCCAGCACCGGTGCAGGGTTTGCACAGGAGGATGAGGAGAAGAGGAGGCACCTCTAGACAAGACAAGACAAGACAAACCCTGAAACAGAGACAAACCACTAGTGAAAATACCTAACTATCTTTGTAATAAAATCTGACCGTGACCTCAGAAGGCATATCTCTCAAATAATTTAAACTAAAAGTCACTGAATGTTATAGTTGACCTTTCTTATTTTAGTCAATGTCTTTTGAGGCCCATCATCTCACCGTTCCGTCTATAAAGTGGCTTGGTCTCCTTCCATCTGATCTTGAGAGGTTAGTTATTTCACTACGAGGAACAGAGGTATTCTCCTGTTTTATAGACAGGAAATGCAACCTGAATTAATGCACAAAAAGACAACTGATATTTACATCCATTATTCCTTTCTAATACAATTTTGGCTTAATATAAAGAAATAAGATGGAATAAATATTTTTTAAGTACCTGAGAAAATTTAGCAGCTTTATTTTCTTGTCAGATTAAATATACGCAAAGATGCCCTGATTCCATTTACAAAGAGAGATCAAAATAAGTTAGCAAGTATCCAAAAGAGACCTTACATCGCCTGCCAGCCAACGTGGAAAAAAGAAGTATGTATAAACCTATAGTTTCTTATTGCTTACTCCTCAAAGGACAAATCCCATCACCTGGAATCCTGTTGCTCTTTATGATGGCAAACTCATTACAGCAGAACCAGTAAGGTTTTGCAGCCCTAAAAGAAGGCAAGATTGAGACAGCCCATGGCCTCTGTCTCTGAATCAATGGGCCTCAAATGCTCACAGACAAGAAGCAGCAGCTTTTTAGCTTTTTAAGCTTTCCTGCCATTAGTCATCTGATGATTGTACGCTGTACAGGGGATTTTACAGCTTTCCTAATTCTTACAGAATATATTACGTCTTTACAAGGAGGGGAATGCTTCCAGCAGTTACTTACTCAGTACCAGACCTCTAATCTCTTTAAAACATATATCCCAATTCAGGTGTATATTGTGTGAAATGGTTAGAAAGGAAGAAAAGGCATCGTGTACCTTCTCCTCCTTTGTACTCATCTTATACATTGTTTGTATTACTGTCAGGTGCACACTAGAAATACATAAACATACCATGGATGCCCCATCCCTGGAGGGGTTCAAGACCAGGCTGGATGGGGCTTTGAGCAGCCTGGTCTGGTGGGAGGTGTCCCTGCCCAGGGCAGGGGGCTGGAACTCCATGATCTTTAAGGTCCCTTCCAACTCTAACCATTCCATGATTCTGTGATACAGTAAAATCAATCTCCGCCCAGTGACAGGGATTTTGCACTTTGAGGTTCTCATGCACATCCAACAACTGTAATTCTTATTTAAATCACCCTGGATCAGACTTTTGCAGCATCACACATTAATTTGTTCTTTTTTTTTTTTTTTTAGCTGGAAATTATGGCAGCATCTAAACTGAAGGCTGAAATTCAAGTTTTAACTTCTCTTTCATCAGATTACCTTTCCAGAGTCTATTTACCAAACAAACTGCAATTTGGTGGGTGGCTGTGAAGGTTTGCAAATGAAATGTTTTTTTCTCGATTTATTTTGTTGACTGTGCTTAGAAAAAAATGCAGAGAGACAGAGAAGCAAGCTTTTTGTGAGGTTTCTTTATCACTGGAGCTGGATTATCATTATCTCTTTTTCCTCTTTTGAAACGTAAGAGAAATTACAATTATTTTACAGAATACCGTTGAGTCCATCCTGTGGCTTCTGCACTGTGGCAATGCCAAATGCAGTGGTATCTATGTAAAAAAATAATGAAATATGTTCTTTTTGGCCAGAAAATGTTAAGTTCGAAAATGTTAAGTTCAAATATGTATCGAGAGATGGCTTTGCCTTCTGCCTTAAGCACAAGATGATGCTGTACCAACCTTTTTTATTTTTGAGGCCAGTAAAAGACTTTGTTTACTGCATGTGCCTCCTTTTGGAGATTACTTTTAAGTACAGTATTGTAGCATTTTGTGTTTGCTAAAAATTCAGGCCAAAAAGTCAGAGGTAATTCTCCATTACTGCATTATCTCGAGCAGCTGTGAGCGTCCCAGCAGCCAAAGCACTATTGTGTCTTTAATGGACAAGCAAGCAGGTGTTACTCATTAAGAATTTAATAAACAGTCCTGTTAATGATGCACTCCATAACCGAGTCCCGTGTTCATTTTATTTAGGTGGCTCTAAAACAGTAAAAAGGGGCAGGAAACTGCGATGGTTAAAGCGTACAATAGATTTTATGTGAGAAGACCAAACTGCCTAGAAAATACTTCCCGAATTGATGCACGGCTCGCACAGATGATATCTGCAGCAGACTTATCCAGTTGTGGGGTTTATTTACCGCACAGTAGCGGTGCTGTCACCCGCTGCCCGTGCCTGCTGTCCGGTGTACAAACAGTGCGGGACAGACCCACGGCTGCTGCAGGGACAGACCTCTCCCCGCGGGGCGGCGGTGCCTACCGACGGCGGTACACCGGGCCTCTTCCTCCCCCGGGCCCTAGGGAAGGGCCCTGCGCGGTGCCCCCTCCCCGGTACCGCCCGGCAGCCATCGCTGGGCCCTCCCCGGCCCGGCCCACT